GCAATTGCAAGTCACTGGCAGAGCAAAAAAGTCAAATCTCAAATATTAAACTTTCTATCTTATAGACAGAATTTGGTGGAGGCTATTATGTATAATAGTTAGAGTCAGCACTTGGGAGATGAGTTACGGGAATGATACAGTTCCTCTATGATTGATCTTTGATACTTGCAAATCAAGGGGTACCCCATGGGGCACAGTATTTTTAAATGGCCTCATAATGAGTCCATTTTCACATTTACCAGCATGTGTACAGCTTCATAGTTTACATTTTTCACAAACATTTTTTCATTTAGTCCTCTTAACAACATTTTAGAAAGTTATGATTCTTAGCCTCATTTTATATATGGAACGTTGAGATGCAATGGATTAAGGGACTAGCACAGAATTACATGGTTTATAAAATTATATAGTTAGTGGGGTAACCAAAATACAAGTCTATTTTCCTACTGTTTCCACTACCTAATGTGTTTGGTTTTTGTTTTTTTTTTTTTTTTTTTGAGGAGTTTTTTTTTTTTTTTTCATTTTTTCTTTTTCACCTGTTTCACAAAGAGAAACACAGTTTGGTATTTTTTGTAAGAAACAGTTGGTCAGGAAAGATAGCCTTAAATATGCTATGATACATAAATCTTGTCACTTATTTTTAAATAGGTAAAATTAACACATTTTTAATATCAGGAATAGAGCTTATTCCTGAAACAAATGTCCCATTCGCATGCAGATTTCTTTATCATATTTTTCCTTTTTAAAAAAATCAAAGATATACATTGTGCATTAGACTGCTGTGTTTTCCTTCTTTTTAGAGGTATGATATATGTTTTCATATTTTTATGAAAGAATTATACTTCTCTTTAAAAATCATATTTTACTTTTAAAAATCAAAGATAAACATTGTGCATTAGTTTGTTGTGTTTTTCTTCTTTCTAAAGGTATGACACATGTTTTCCAATTAGTAACCCCATACTAAACAAAAACATGTGGGTAACCATAAAAGCTGTTTACTACCTCCCCTTACACATGCTGAGCTAGCCCAGTGGAACACCATCTTGGTAAGAGAAATTTTGATAGGAAGAGGAATGTAGCTAGATTTGTGAAGCTTGCAAAATTACATTTTTACCAAACTCACCCTAATCCAACAGAAAACATAATGAAATGGATCTATTCAGAAAGGATTTTTTTAAAGATTTATTTATTTATTTTAGACAGAGAATGCATAAGCAGGTGGAAGGAGAGGCAGAAGGAGAAAAGCAGACTCCCCGCTGAGCGTGGAGCCCTACTCGAGGTTTGATCTCAGGACCTTGAGATCATGACCTGAGCCAAAATCAAGAGCAGGATGCTTAATCCCTTGAGCCACCCAGGCGCCCCCATACAGAAAATATTTTTATGGAAACCTGCACAAATACATTTACTAGAAGAAAAGAATGCCTTTGTGTAGATTTCCAGCACAGAGCCTATATCCATTAGTGCCTGGTAAAATAGGAACTCCAATTTGAAAGATCTTTTTGCCATCATAGAACAACTAAAATGCACACACCATTTAGTGTTTTTGCCTTTAAAAGGCTAATCACAACTGGGTGATGGACACTGAGGGGGGAACTTGATGGGATGAGCACTGCGTGTTATTCTATATGTTGGCAAATCGAACACCAATAAAAAATTAATTTATTTTTTAAAAAAGGCTAATCCCAAGAATCCCAAGATTGGATCCACTAGATTATCTTGAGTATCCATGTATTCATCTGTCCATCCATCTATCCATATTTTCTAAATCTATCTATACTTAAATGGTGCCTTAGAAAAAGGTTCTCATATAGACTAAATCAGGACTGACAGTGATAACTGAACTACAAACTCAAAACTAAGAGTTCCTATCCACTTACTGTTTTCAGGTAAAGGACATCTCTTTCAGTTGATTCCCACAACCAAGACTAGCTCAGGTGTCCCCAAAACAGTAGTGAACAGAAAAGAGAAGTTTCAGAGATCTCAAGAACTGGTCTGAGTAAAACCCAAGGGAAATTCCCAAGTAGTCAAAAACCCACACAGTTTCATCAGTTGGACTTAAGGGTTTTCAGTCTTACCCAGGTGAAAAAGCTATAAACACACAGATTCACACAAAGCCTGCCTGCCTGTCATATTTGGGACAGAAAGTGTTCATGATGGCAGGTGTTTCCATGCTGTTGATATATCAACTACATGGAAGCTGGGGAAGGGCCCTATCTCCCTCTGCATATGGAATGCTGGAAAACATCTGGCCCCAGAGTAGCCTTGGACTCCTCCAAGAGGAGAAGCAGCTACCCCAGCTCCAGAATACCCGAATACAAGGACATGTCTCAGGAGACACAGAGGTCCCAGGAGGGTCAGGTCATTTCTTTTTTGAACCTTCAATGCTTAGCATGAATGAGGAGCCCCAGAACAGAGTCAGTTCACCTACCTGTCACCATTAGCTGGGGCTGCGCTTTACACCAGCCCCGCTGCCCGGCGGTAGGAGCTGGAGCCGCAGTTCCGGAGCTGGCCGGCGAGGTGGTCGGCACAAGCAAGCCGCCACCAACCCACTGCTTGAGTCCAGGGTCCAGAGCCCCCATTCTGCTCTAGAGTCCAGGAGGGGTTCTGTAAAAGCCAGAAAACCCCAAAAAAGGGTGGGCCAGCAGACCAATTCTGCCTCCACCCGCTGCATCTGTACAGAAGCCACCTTGGTGACTTCAGGAATCTGCTCCAACAGCTGTGTTTTAACATATTTCTAGCAAATGCATCTATACTTCAAAACCGGCACATGGTTGAACTTACTTTCTTCCACGTGCTCAAGCCTTGGTCGTGCTTGCCCGTGGACCTCGCCACCCAGGACACTGTCCTCTAAACGGCCAACGACTACACCAAATTCTGCATCCTAAGCGGAAGAGACCCAGTACCGAGGTGGCCCTATTCCGTGGGGCCTGTGGAACAAGCCAGCGGCCTAGGTGCCCTGGAGGAGCGTTTGCGCCTGCGCGGAGGCGAGACCTCATCCCCCCACACACAGGGGGCTGCAGCCACGGGCTGGCGGTTCTGTGGGTGTCTGTTACCCACCGCTGAAGTGCAGGTGTATAAAATAATCCTGAAAACGCTCTCTCTATTGGACTTTTATGTAAGTACTTGAGGATGCTTTATGTGTCTGAGAACATTCTCGATAAAACTGAAGGCAACAGAAATGTTGAACAAGTATTGAATTGAAAATAGAGTTATCTCGAGGTCTTATTTAATTTGCATTTTGAAAATTCTTTGATCCTAGGATATATTTTTTTAAGACTCTCAAAACCTAATAGTAAAAACAAAAACAGAAAAAACCACCCAGGTAATAATCCAATTATTAAATAGGCCAAAGACATGAACAGATATTTCAGCAAAAAGAGATGTGGATAGCAAAAAAGAACAAGAAAAGATGTTCAAAATCATTAGCCATTAGGGAAATGAAAATTAAAACAATGAGTTGTCCCTGCAAAATTACTGAGCAAGTGAATTTGAAAAAATAGAGATAATAACAAATGCTGGTGAGAATATGCAGAAACTAGACCACTCACACATTAGTGCCACCACTAATGTTTATGGTACTCTGGGACATAGCTTGACAATTTCTTAGCCTATGACCCAACAATGTATTCTTTGGTGTTCATCCTAAAGAAATAAAAACTTATGTTCATATAAATATCTATATACATATGTTTACAGAAATGTTACTGGTAATAGCAAAATACTGGAAACACACATTCTTCGATGGATAAATGGATGAACAAATTGTGCTACATCCATATAATAGAAATTTACTCAATAATAAAAAGGAATGAGCTAGTGACACAAGCACACCATGGGTGAACTTCAAGGGCATTATGCTTAGTTAAAAAAAAAAAAAAAGTCAACTGTGTGCTCCCCACTCATGTAACAGTCTCAAAATGGCAAAACTCTGAAGACTGAGAACAGATTAATGTTGAGGGGCTGCAAATACAAAGAGGATTGGATATGGAAGTTCATTTGTGATAGTGGAACAGTCCTGTGTCTTGATTGTGGGAATTTTTTTTAGTACTGTGACTTTGCTAAATATTTACCATAAAAGCTAGTCAAAAGTTTCTACACTGCTTTTGTGCATCACAATCCCAAAAGTGTTTAAATACACAGTGTTGGTTTAATTAAGCTTAAGTACCAATTTTGAATATTTATTAAAAGCTAATGGTATAGATTTTATTAGCTTGCAACAATTTGAGTATGCAAATGTGGATTATTTTACGGTAATAACGAGAACAAGGATACATTTGTGGCAGTGACTCAGGGGATTCTTTGTATTATTCCTTTTCTCTCCTTTCCAGTAGGCATAACAGAGTCTGTGCTTTATGCTCATTTACTTCCACTTTTCCAGAATCAGGGGTTTTATGTGTAATATTTGGGGGCTACAAAGCACCATTGAGACAATCTATTCCTCAGACCCCTACTGTTGTTTGGAAGGACTTTGTAGAACAGTGACTTTTCCTCTGCTTTATGTGGGTCACCGTTTACACCACTTTATTCTCCTAAAAGTTCATCCTGTCAGTGTCCCTCAGATATAGGCATCGACCTGGGTAGTTCCATGATGACTGTTTGTTCTTCGGGCCCTACAGAAGAAGCAGCGTCTGAAAGAACTGAGCCTCTCGGTGCTCCGTGGGAGTGGATGGCATAGGATAGCCTTCCAGTTATGGGTATTTGTATAAGTGTCTTTTTGATCCTAGCACCTGCTTGCTGCTCAGGCATGCCACTTAACTCTTTTTAAATTTATAACTGAGGAAATGAAAGAAAGTGAAGAAAGGCAGGAACCTCATCAGTTGCTGTACTAATTGAGAAGATTGTTTTAAACCTCCTAGGCCGTTGCCTGCCACATGTGAGTGCCACAATACATGATAATTCCCGTTTCTTTTTTTTTAAGACTTTATTTATTTATTTATTTATTTATTTATTTATTTATTTATTTATTTATTCATGAGAGACACACACAGAGAGAGGCAGAGACACAGGCAGAGGGAGAAGCAGGCTCCATGCAGGGAGCCCGATGTGGGACTTGATCCCAGGCCCCGGGATCACGCCCTGAGCGGAAGGCAGACGCTCAACCGCTGAGCCACCCAGGCGTCCCAATAATTCCCATTTCTTCTGAGTTTCTACCCTATTTCTTAGCCCCAGGGCACTTTGAAGAGAAATAGCTTGCAATAAAAAGGAGTGATTGCTAGGAATGAACAGGGTTAATTAACTTTTCTGAAGAAATGTGTTCCTGAAAATAATCTATATTGATTAAACCTCTTAAAACGGGGTCACCTTTTAAATAGACCAAGAGAAGTTTGTTTTGCACCAAGGAAACGATTGCCCCCTCATGTCTCTGTCTTGAAGTTCTTAGAGTAGACCTTTCTGATTGCCTCTTCACTACCGAAAGATGATGGACCCATAACTCCCATTTCCAAAGACGGTTCAGTGGGGGATGACAACCCAACCAGGGGGCCCTTTAGAGGCTCCCTTTTCTCCAGCCCTCCAACACCTCAGGAACACAGTCCTTGAGAATTCCTCGGGGACTGAGGACACATTGTTGCCATCCGTGTAACCCCTTGGTACACAGCGGCCTGTACACAGGTTCACTAAATGAATGAATTCCTTGGGGTAGCTGGACACAGCCATACCTTTATGCCCCAGGTGCCTCTTTATACAGGCTGGGGGTTAGGAGGTCTAAGGCACAGTAATTGTGGCAGGCTGTCTGGAAAGCCTTTGAGGGCCAGGACAAGGGTTGCTTGGGTGCGTGGTCACCTTCTTAGGGCTCAGCAGGGTCCCTGACAGGCGGGCAGGCAGTGAGTATTTGTTGTGTGAATGCATGCAGACGTGCAAACGACCCCGGGTCCTGTCCTCAGAGGTCACTGTCGGCCTAGAAGAGGGAGAAAAGTTCACCAGGAGGGATGGACTGTGCTGGGCTCTCAAGCCATGAGCTCCGAAGCCAATTTCACTTCCTCACTCGGCCATCTGCAGAGGGTTGTCAATCCCCTCTTCGCACGGGTGGTGGTGGGGGGGGGGGTGCGGCCAGGTGGTGCTGACGCCCCCTGCCCCCTGCGGGGACCCCAGGTCACCGAGGAAGGTAACCCAGAGGGGGAGCCCGCCGGCACGTGCAGCCTCCCAGGAGAGGAGGAGGCTGGGCTAACGCAGCCCTTAGTCAGCAGCTGGGCTCGCTTTTGAAACAAAAGCCAATGTCCTCCCTCCCTCGGAGTCCGCGGCCGGCCAGCTCCTGGGGGGAAGCAAGCCATGCTGCCCAGCCGGTTAGTGGCCCAACTTACTTCTCCGGAGCCTGGGGCCAAGCGCCAGCGGCTGTAGGGGTGCGGGCGGGACGCTGGGGGCCGGGACGCGGCGGCGATCGCCCGGGGAAGGGTCGGGGCCCCCGCGCCGCGGTCCCGCGCGGTCCCGCGCGGTCCGCCCCCCGCCCCGGGCCGCGCGTCCCCGGGGCTGCGCGAGGCCGGGGCCCCCTCGCCGCCCGCGCCCCGGCGCACGGGCGCGCCAGGCCCCGGTTTCATGAATGAAATCCAGCCGTGTGGCTATAAATAGCCGCGGAGGCTGCTAACGTCACAGCGAGCGGCGGCCGCCACGGCGGCGGCGGAGCTCGGGGCCCGGCGCTCGGTTCCGCCCGGCTGGCCCGCCCGGGAGCGCGGCGGGGGCGAGAGCGGCCGGGAGGGCGGGGGGGCCGGGGCCGGGGCCGGGCCCGGGGCGCGCCCCTCGCGGGCGGGGAGCGGGCGGGGAGCCGGCGGCCGCGGCGCCCGGCCGGGCCATGCAGCCTTTGTGCAAAGTTGGGCGGCGGGCGGCACGCGGCGCGCTGGGGTCCCGCTCGCCCGCGGCCGCGCGCAGTCGCGGCTGCTGCTGAGTGGCGGGGACCCCCCGCGCCCCGCAACCCTTGAGGGCGGAGAGAGCTCGCGTCTCGCTCGGCTTCAGGGTAGGTTCTGTGTCGTGAGCGCGCTGTGCTAGGAAACTTCTTCCCGGAGCAGCGGCCGCGGAGCCGCCGGCGCCCGGGCCCCAGGGGCGGCGCCCCGAGGCAGCGAGCAGCGGCTCCGAGCCGCGTGGGAGCCGCGTGGGCGCCGCCCGCGCCTCCCCGCGGGCCCGGGGCGCTCGCAGCCGGGGCGGGCCGCGGGGCTCCCAGCAGCGCCCGCACAGCCGCGCCCCTCCTCGGAGCCGAGAAAATGCCCCGCGGGCGCCCTCAGCGCGCGGGGCTGCGCGGGCGGGGGAGGTGCCGCGGGGGCCGAGAACCGCGGCGGGGAGCCGACCCCGGGCGCCTGCACCCGCCCTCGGGAGCCGACTGGGCGGCCCGCAGCCGGGCGCTCCCCACCCCCAGCCCCGTGTCGGTGGAGTCTGTTGTGAGTTGCCGTGGCAACAGTAGGAGCTGCCACGAGGGGCTTGCAAAACACCTTACCTTGCGTGTCTGTGTGCTCGGGGAGAACAATGGGGTGAGGGGTGGAGAGGGGAGATGCTGCAGACTAGGGAATCCAACGCCCTCTCCAAAAAAAAAAAGAAAGAAAGAAAGAAAAAGAAAAAAAGAAAAGGAAGTGGAAGTGGAAGGAAGGCACAACCATGCAAAAATATATCATTAGATCCTACTTTTAGCTGCGCCTTTTCTATCCTCAGCAGTATCAAACATCTCAACTGAGGAGCAATGTCAATATTTAGACTTGGACACGCCAGAAAGTTAGAAGGGAGCGCCAAGCGCAGGGTTTTGACTTGGCTTTGCACGTCAGCACACAAGCTGTGCCTTTCGAGCTGACTGTACACATTTGCCGGGGGGAGAAGAAAATGCACGAAGGTTGATATATATGCAAAGGCACCCGGACCCAGGAAACTCTAGGAAGTTAAGACACGAGGAGTCTTTTTGACTTTGAACTCGCCCCAACTTGTGCTGCTCATGCAGTTCTGCTGGACCCCGGCCAGATGCTCAACTTGAAGTTTCTCTGGTTGGGGCTCCCCCATCCTCAACCAGGGCTGTGCTGCACACTCTCCACCGTACTGTGGATCCTCTCTAAACCGAAGAGAATATCGTTATCAGTAGTTTCCATCTTTGTATAAAGTCCTCTCACTATCAGCAGATAAAAATAGCCAATAGGCTGTGTTTGTTGACCTCGGCAAGCTCTAGGCTTTTCTAAACATACATTCGTAAGTTTGTTTGCAAACACTCTTTAGAAATTTGGGATTACACTTCCTTTCCAATAACTCTGTAGATTCCTAAGAGTCGCTGGTTGCTAGAAAATAAACACAAGTTCTTTTCAGTGTAAATAAGGTCTGCCTACTGCTCTGCAGGTGGAGTAGGCAGTAAATTATTATATTAGGTTGCCTCTGAGATTCCTGGATCCTATTTAAGCATACTAGTGGGAAAGGGGTTTAACCAGTTCCTCTTGGTGTGGAACACTGAAAAAATCATTGGGAAGCAATAAAATCATGGTCAAAGTTCTTCTAAATGTGCCCATTGGTGGTTATTTTCCCAGATTCTGAAGGTAGTGTAAATTTAAGTACGTAAGGCTGTATGTGATCACAGAGGTGAAAATAGAAGCACAGGTAATCTGATGCTGTTGGCCCAATAACACAACTTGTAAACTATACACATAGAATTTAATAGGAAAAACTAGAACCGTTTGACCTTTCACTTAAGCCAATATTGCCCCCAAATGTTATTTTGGAGGGTTAGTGTGTCCACTTCTCTGACTTCTGTATGGTAAAATGCCTGGAAGTTTTTCCTTTTTCCCTTCCCTTCCGTGGGTCTGGGCCAAGTGCTTTTTTTGTATCATCCCCAAATGTTCAGAAATATATTTTCACAAATGCTACAAAATGTTAACCTAGCTATTTCGGGATGTATTTGACCCAAAGAAATGCCACTTTAACACTGGTATTTAGCAAAAGTGAAGCAAACTCTTGCCCTTTGGGGGGTGGAGGGGGAAAAAATGTGCGGTGAAAATTTTAGTGGCTCCCTACGTGTTCCTTCTTGGGCAGCAGTAGGACTTAACAGGTGTTTCTCTTTTTTTATGTAGGTAAGTCCAGCTGTGAGCAGGGTGTTCTGTTCTTCACTTCCAGAAAGCCAGGTCAGTGTCTCTGTGCAAACCTATGACCGATTGATGACACCTTGTATCTAATTCTGAACATGGATTTCAGAACAGATTACCCAGTCATTTGTCTTAAAACAATTTGTCTTTACCGTCTTTTCATGGACTCAGTTATGAACATCACAAGTTCAATGATTAATAAAATTATTTTCTTTACTCTGTGAGTAAAATGGTACTAAAATGGACCTTGAATCAGTTTGTGCTTTATGACTTTTTGAGGGGTGTGGGGATCAAAGGGATGCCAGAATCACTGAGGATGCTGAGGATCTGGGTGCCTGATAATTAAGATTTTACTTCTATCCTAATCTTGGCACTCTAGAGCTGGAAGAAACTTGATATAATAATAGCACATATATTTTAGCATGAATCAAAGTTGGGAAAATGTGTTGCATTCTTTACATTTATGTTCTCATTGTGCATCTGGAAAAGAAAAGAAAAGAAAAAAAAACCCTGTGGAGTTTAACTACTCTCTTGATCCCCAAAAGACTTGTGAAGAGTTAGAAATTCAGAAAGGTTAGATAATATATTCAATTCCTACTTTTAGGAAATGGAAGAAATAGGATTTAAAAAAAAAAATTCTGTCTTACACTAAAACCTAGACTTTCTAGTTGAAAAATTCTTCTCTAGTAGGGAAATTGAGGCCAGGAAAGGTTAAGTGACTTGCATAAGATAACTTGGTAATTACAGCTCATCTAATAACACTGAAATGGCCCAACTGTTGCAAAGAATAAATACCCTTCTCTTAAATAAAGCGGTGTGATAATAAGCTTTCATGTGTACTTTCTGGCATAACACTGTCTAAGATTTAAGAAAGTTTTTATGAGGGGATCTCCCATCCTAAGATCTTACAGAAAGACTTAAAAGGCAAGATATTAAACATTCATGTATGAAAAATTAAAGGATAAATCAAGATCATACATGTCAAAAGGCTGAATTGGAAGGTCAATGGTATGGTTTACAAGAAGTTCTGCATTTTCCACTCCATGGGATTACTTTGCAACTCCGTCTATGCATAGAAATTTCAAGCACATATTTTGTCTGGATAGATGACAAATGAGTGAGAGTTTAGGAAAATACAGAAGGTAGAATTTCAACCCAACAGAGAGAGATTATGCAGTCATCTAGAACTGCTAAATTACAGTATCTCAAAGCTCAAAGGTGTTATTGCTTCAGAAAGCATTGTAACAAAATTGTGAGCTGTTTGAATCTGGACAGCATCTTTGAGAACATTACTACTTAGCATGATACTTTAAAAGTACTCAATTCCTTTTGGAATTTTAATTTGTCTAAAATGTGCCATGTAGATAGATTTAGATGCATAATAGATAAATCCCAACCAAAGTCCTGAAAATGACCAGTAAAGTTAAGCAGGACATTTTCAGTTTTTACCCACCCTGACGGCCTTCTCTTCCCATCTTGCCTACCTTTTGTAGAATAATTTCTAACGTTTGTCAATCCTTCTTAGGGGGTATTATATAAAGGAGTAATATGAAAATGAAATGGGGAACAGATTAGTAAAGAAAACCTTAATTTATCATCTTTAAAAAAAAATGTACTGATATCCCCAACTCAGCTAATAGCCCTAAAAGGTTACTTAGCTAAGAGATACTTTTAAGCATTTAAGGGGTTGCTATAAGCTGTCCTACAACAGGTTTGTCCTGTACAAGTTGTTACATAGTGTATCATTACAGAATAGAGCTTAAGAACACTGAGAAGATCCCATTGCAGGTTAAGACCTCACCGTCAACTGATATTTGGTTAGCTGTGCCAGTGCTATGTCATAAAAATATCAGTATAGCAACTCTAAACCTGTAATTATTGAAAAAGTAAAATTAGGGGCACCTGGCTGGCCCAGTCAGTAGAGCATATGACTATTGATCTCGGGGCCCTTAATTCGAGCCCTATGTTGGGCATAGAATTTACTTAAAAAAAAAAAAATCTAAAAATAAATAAATAAAAAGTAAAATTATACTGTGAGTCATATGTTAACAAGACCTTATAATTAGCATGTTATCCCTAATAATAATTTAATTAGCAATCATCCGTTTGCTGTATTGAACTTCAGAAGGCTTTGGTTAATTAATGTGCTTGACCTATCTCGAAACATGGGTGGAAACACTTGAAATTTCATTGTTTTTCGCTCAGGAAGTTTGCCTATAGAAAACAGCAGAATTTTTAAAAATCTTTTCTATTGCTGTTCTTTTAGAAAACAGGCAGTTGAGTCTCATTATTTGCAGGCCTCACTCTGGCTTCATGTAATAGGGTTTAAAGAGTACAGGTAATCTGAATTTGGTTTTTGTGTTCATCTTCTTTACTCCACTCAGGCTCCCCACAAACCTCACAACACCAAAACAAAACTGGAAGAAGGAAAGAAAATGAAGTCAGAAGAAGTGGCTTTTGTTGTGTTAGAGGTGGGCAGGGGAGGCCAAGAGGCAGTCACTCAATGGACAGGATGTGTATACACTGTTTAATTATATGTCAGCATCACAAGTTTGTTTTTTTTTTTTTTTAGTTTATAAACAAAGTCATCACCACTCTTCCTGAAATCCTGTGTTCCCTGTGCACATGGCAGAAATTGGGAAATAGGCAAATAAAAAAACTGAAATGAACTGGGTATAGCAGCCACTGTTTCCAGATGTCCTAGGACACTTCTATCTCCAAATGTTCCCTCCAGCTGTCCCATCAAGCACATTATCATATCTCTGGTAGGGTTTTATCCACTAAGGGGTGAATTAGGAAGTTTTATAAAGAAAGAGATGCCAGTAGGTCCAGAAGAAATAATTACGTTTCTCCACTCTGCACCTGTGTTTATTCATTGCATAGACACAGGTTAATGCCAAGTTCCCAGTGCTAATGAGGTTACCATCTCAGGCTCCATCCCTCTGTGAATAAGGTTCCTTTGAATTGTTACTCAACCATAGTCCAAGCCCCTAATGAGCACTGGAAGAATAATAACCAGCGATTATTATGCTCCTACTAGATGCCAGGCATTTTACTGCATTTCAACTAATTATCATTATCCATTCCAATTCTATGGGAGCAAAAAATGGAACTCAGATATGTTAAGGTCAAAGAGGTAACAGGAGTTAGAAAGAGATTCGCACCCAGGTCTGCCCAAGAACTTGAATACATATTTGGCTTTAAATGAACTCCTGGGGGTAGGGGAGAGAAACACTTTAAACCATTTCATTCCAGCTTACTTTTGCAGATGGTAGAGTGCAGGAGTCAAATGATTATTCTTACTGAGGGTTTTTCGTTTTGTTTTTTGTTTGTTTATTTATTTTTAATCTAACTTGAACCACGTAGCAGACTTGTCTGTACAAATTTGTTAACTCTCCAGGTCATTTCTAATATATTTTGACTGAAGTCAAATCTTAAGCAGTTGAGTCATAGAGTGTGGAATCATGGATCCAGAAAGGTCCTCAGAGATACGTAAGACGACCTCATGTAAGTGAAAAAAACTGCCTCCCAGAGAAGTGATCTAGTTTACCCACTCTCCTAGTTAGTAACTGACACAGCTGGAAGTGAACCCAGGTTCCCAAGTCCCAGCGCAGGACTTGATTCTAATATAAAGCATTGCCTGAAAAGTGCCAAGTCTTCCAAACCCTCCCACGTAGCCAAAATTACAACTATCAAGTATGAAATCCATCAGAAACCTAAGATACATCCAGAAATGGGAGATAAGAGGATTCCAACAGTGTAAAGATACAGTGAGCACCGAGAAAAAGCTCACTTCTCTGCATTGACGTGGATGCAGAGCAGTCTTCCTGCTGACTTAAAGCAGCCCCACTCGCATCCCTTCCACCCTGTCTCCGTGAACCATCTGTCTTAATTAAGTATGGAGCTTTTCCATTTGTCTGTGGAGCTCTGGTTTCTCACTAACTCTGTGACAGGGAAATACTTCTTGGACCTCATTTTTTTCTAACCTATAAAGTAAGGACCATATCACGTCTTTTAGAGAATTGTGCAGACAGATGTTATGAAATCATACATGTACCGCATATAGTAGGTACTTAGTAAGGGATAGTTCTCCTCTTAGCCTTCCTAGTATTTCAAAGGAAAATGTTATCATTTTTTTCCCCTTAAATGAACTAGAGCTGTTTGAATTCTGATATTGTAAGGGGTTGTTAGAGTAACCTTTTTTTCCTGGGTAAAAAACATGCCCAGTGGTCTCTTGGGGTACCAGTGGCCCAGTCACAATGACATTTTTTTTTCCTTGCGCTCTAGGGTTGCCACAATGTACTCGAATAATTTTAATTGCCTCAGTATCTGCCACAAAAGTAACACCAGGCTCCTCTTGGAGATTTGTGGCTCCCATTTCCTTCCAGACACTGTTGAAGTATCGGACATGCTCTCCAGGTAGACCCTTGCATCTCAGAGCAACTACTATATTTTCAGCCAAGTAACTAAGAAATACTTCCAGAGAATATTATTGCCAGTAGAACATTCTTGCTTTTAATTTCAAAATACGTGAGACTTGCCTGCCGTCATTTCAGTTAACTCAAGCATTAAGTACTGTCTGTGCTCTGGCCCTGTCTTTTCGTCGTGTGTTGCTGACGGATCTATCGATAGGAAAAACATAAGCACTACAATTTCCCCTTTCACCCTCAGCGCTTGATAACTACCCTGGCCTAAATTACATCTCTGGGAAGTGTTTCATCACACTCCTCTCCCCAGCTGCCACGCTGTGTCATGTGGCACTCACTGCCCTGCTTCAGATTTTTGGAACCAAGTCTTTGGCAGCACATCCTATTCGTCACATACATGGAGGAAAGCCACTGTGGTGGTTTTTCTTACTTGTACTTTCTCCCCCTTTTTAAAAGACTTATAATCCCAAGTGGCCCAGGATGGCCTTTATTTTCCTGGTGACATAGTCTTTCCCTCTGAGTGTTTGACGAGGGTAAATTGCAAGATGTATATCCTTTTCTTTGGGTTTAGGGCTGGCAGTTATGTGTTGTCTCCTATGCTGTGAAGTGGCC